ATAACCTCATATTCATGTGAAAGTTGAACAATGAATAAAGAAGACCGTTGAAGAACTGATGCATTTGAATTATGATGTTGGAGAGGAATATTAAAGATACCAAGGACTGGCAGAAAAACAAACCAATCTGTGTTGGAAGAAGCACAACCAGAATTCTCCTTAGAAGCCAGGTGGCCAGGCTTTGTCTCTCATACTTCAGTCACATTATCAGAAGAATTGATGCATTTAAGTTATGGCGTTGGAGGAAAATATTAAAAGTATCATGGACTGCCAGAAGAACAAACAAACCTGTGTTGGAAGAAGTACAGTCAGAATGATGCTTAGAAGTCAGGATGGTGAGACTTTGTCTTTCATGCTTAGGGCCTGTTATCAGTAGGCACACTCCCTGAAGAAGGGCATCATGTGTGGTAAAATGGAGGCCAAGAAAAAACAGGAAAACCCCCAAGGAGATGGATTGACAGGGTGGCAGCAGCATTGGGGTCAAGTGTAACAAGGTCTGTGAGGATGGTGCAGGACCGGGCAGGGTTCCGTTCTGTTGGGCACAGCATGGTCGCTATGAATCGGAAAAACAAACCTGTTTTTTGCTATTCTCTGTTTTCAGCCAAGATCTGCCATCAGCAATGAGACCCTCATTCCACATCCTTTTCTAAATCTTGAGTAAATTTTTGGTAGCTCACTGTCAAAGTACTGCTGCAACTGTTCGGTTGTGTGTGTGGTTTTTTTTGTTTGTTTGTTTGTTTTTCCATTATCTTCAGCAAAATTTTACTTGCATGTGATATTAATGATATTCTTCAATCATTTCTGCATTCTTTAAGATCATGGGTACAAATATGTATCTCTTCCAGTTGGTTGGCCAGGTAGCTGTCTTCCAAATTTCTTGATATAGACGAGCGAGTGCTTCACTTTGCTGAAACATTTCAGTTGGTATTCAGTCAGTTCCTGGAGCCTCGTTATCGAAAACGTCTTGACCATATGCTCTCTCCTGAAGTGGTTGGACGTCAACCAGTCTTTCCTCCATACAGGAGGACTCGATGTATACCTTCTGGTTTCTTCTGATGCCTCCTGCACATTCAATATTGCCCATAGAATCCTTTCATCTACATTGTGAGGGATGACCCACAGGTAGCAAGGAGCTAATGGGATGCAGGTGGGTTACCTAGCTCCCTCCAGCCAGGGTTGGAAGGGGGTGCTCTTTGCCATTCTACACATTTTCATCCTTTTAGTTGTTAAGTTGTTGAGGCGTTTTTGGTTCTTGTTTTCAAGATCTGCACTTGATTACTGCACTATGTGGACTTCCTACAGGGTTGGTTTTATGGTGTTTTTTCTCTTTGTTTCAGTCAGCTTTTATTCCTTGTATGCCTGGTTAATTGAATGTTGGCCATGACGAAGGGCAAAAAAAGGAACGTATTTTGGAGCTCTGTGTTGTACTACTTTCCTCATATGGAGAATTTACGTTTCCTTCCGGAAGAGACACTGATAACCTCAGATTTCCACCTTAACAACAACAGTAAACTAAACCTGCTATTGTTGAGTTGATTCCAAGTCCCAGCCATCCTACAGCACAAAGCTGAACTGCCCCACTGAGTTTTCAAGGCTGTAATCTAAGGAAACAGACTGACACGGCTTTCTCCTGTGGAGCAGCTGGTGAGATTGAACCACCAACCTGTGGTTAGTGCTTTAGTTTCTGTGCCACCAGGAATCCTGTTGATTCTGATTCCTAATGACTCCATGGGACACATCTGCCCCGTGGCATCCCCTAGGCTGTCATCAGAACAGGAGCAGATATCCAAGTCTCTCTCTCCACAGGAGCCGGTGGTGGGTTTGAACCACTGACCTTCAGTTAGCAGCTGAGCATTTAGCCATTACAATATCCCTAGGGCTCCTCTCCTGCCTGTTGTTGTTGTTAAGTGTCGTTGAGTCTGTTCTGACTCACAGCCACACTGTATACGGTTTCTGAGGCTGTCAATCTTCATAGGAGCAGAAAGCCTCATTTTTATCAGAGAGGCTGGTGGGCTTGAACTGCCGACCTTGTGGTTTGCAGTTCAGTGCTTATCCTACAGCGCGACTGTGCTCTGCCTCTTCTATTAAGACGATTCATTTCCCAATCACCTTCATTCCTGAAGTTCAACCCAAAGACTAGAGCTTGCCCGGGGCTTCTCCTCCTTGGGGGAACTCAGTTTTCACTCCTCTTCCCATCTCAAAACTCAGCAAATGTCTTCCTCGGGAAGATGGCCCCAGATGTTGGGTTCTACTTTCCTACCAGATGTTTGCCCCAAAATTTTTGCTTCTTGGCCACTCCCTTGTGCCTTTACACAGAAATTTGGAGATTTTTCTTTTCCATTGTGTCCAGCTGTTCTAGTTTTCCTCCACAGGGGAGCATGGCTTTAAACCGCAGAGCCCACCATTTGCTGGGAACAGAACTTCCTGTATTTCTTTTGAATATGTAGATGCCTCCAGGATAATCTATTGATAATTAAATTCCTTACAATTGGGTTTCCACTCCACGCTTTGAGAGTATGTCCTTGCTTACATTGAAGTGCGTCTGTTGGTCTGTTTGGAGTTTTTCCCCCTGCGGCCCTCAAAATACAGATGTTGCCTCTTTTCTCCCTTTAAAAACCCCAGATTCTGATTCCTCCCAACCATATAGGGCAGGATAGGCCTGCTCCTTATGGTTTCTGCGGCTGTAAATCTTTATCAGAGTAGATGGCATCATCTTTTTCCTGCAGAGCATCTGGTGGGTTTGAACTGCTGACCTTGTGGTTTCAGCCCAGCACTTAACTCACTGCACTGCCTGGCTCCTTTGTTCTTGTTGTTGGTAAGTGCCGTGGAGTCGGTTCCAATTCATATTGGCCCCGTATGTGGTTTCCTAGGAGCAGCTGGTGAGTTTGAACTGCCGACCTTGTGGTTCACAGTCCAGTGCTGATCCTACAGTGCCACACCAGGACTCTTAGAGAATTTTTGTTGTTAAGTACCATGGAGTCTGTTTCTACTCATAGCAACCCTGTATAGAGATTCCAAGGAACAGCTGGTGAGTTTGAACCACTGACCTTGAGGTTCAAACTGAACTTGCTGTCCAGTGCTTATCCTGTGGGGCCACACCAGGGCTCCAGAGACAAAGTGGGCCTTGTATTGGCACAGGTATATCTAAAGTCTGCGATTCAGTTTCAGGTACAGCTTGATCCAGGCACTGCCTGATGAAAGATTGTCACCAGAGCTCCTCTCAGCTTCACTGCCTCCAATATGGCCCTCTCCCTGTCTCCCTCCTCATGGCCACAAAGTGACCACAGCCCCCAATCTTGCATGCATGTCCCGTCAAACTCAGCAGAAAGGACACAAACTCAGCAGACACAGCCTCCTTTCTTGCTGGGCACTGACCCTGTGGCCAGCGGGGGAGAGAGTACTGACCCCATCAGGACATGCCAAGACTGGGAACGGTGGCTGCCTATTCTAGTTTTCTAGTGCTACTGGAACAAAAATGCCACACATAGGCAGCTCTAGCCAACAGAACTTTATCCCTCGTAGTCTGGAAGTCCAAATTCAGGGCACCAGCTCTAGCGGGGACGGCTTTTTCTCTCTGTTGGCTCACAGTTTAGGAGGCAGGTCCTTGCCTCCTTTCAGCATCTGTGAACCTGACAGTCCTTAGCCATATCCATTTGTCTGGTCACCAACCTCCCCTGGATCTCAGATGTTCTCAGCTCAGGGTACCAGAGTCCAAAGGACACACACTACTCCTGGCTCGTCTTTCTTGGTGGTAATCGGTCCCTCTGAGCTCTGCTTGCTATGTGAAATCTTTCCTGTCTCCACCGAGATTCACTCAGATGCAGCCTAATCCTGTAGGGTGCACTGTTTCATTAACATGCCTACTGCTGTTTATTGCCATCCAGTCAATTCCAAATCATAGGTTTCCAAGGAGCAGCTGGTGGGTTTGAACCACTGATCTTGTGGTTTGCAGTGCAGTGTTTATCCTACATCGCCACACCAGGACCCCTTTAATCCTGCTTTAATTAACTGCCTCTAATCCTGTGGCACTGCAGGTGAATGCAGTGGACGGCAAGGTTGGTTTGAAACTCGGTGGTTCAAGCTCACCAGTCGCTCCTCAGAAACCCTATGAGTCCGAACTGACTAGATGGCACTTAACAACAACAACAATGGTCCTACCCCATTCACATCACAGAGGACAATTACATCGGATCACAGATGGAGGACAATTACGTAACACTGAGTCACGGCCCAGCCAAGTTGACACATAGTTCTGGGAGACACAACTCAATCCCAAAGAGTGACAAGAGAAACTTGAGGTGTTGCTCTCGGAAGGTGGAGGGCAAACCAGCATCTATTACAGACCTTCACCCCAATACTCAGATGGGGTAAGCCAGGGGAGGCCTCGAGCCGCTCTTCAACAACCCCCCAGATCCATCCTTGGTTGGGAAATATGCACAGGCCTCACAAGCACCCCATAACTTACCCCAACTGGTTCCCAGCCTCCCCACATGGCAGCTCTTCTACGTCTGTTTTCCGCAGATATTTATTATACCTATCCCTGGGCTACACCATAATATTGGCCTGTATGCCTGTTCCTTGGTGTGTGTCTCTGGGTCACTGGGGCAGATGTGGCCCGCGACAGGCGATCCCTGGCAGCTGGCTGACTGCAGTGAGTGTGGCTGAGGAAAGAGCGCAGCATTCCGGCTGGGAACCTGGACTCTGGCCTGGTTGTGCTGCCCACACACTGTGAGCCTTGGAGACATTCTTCCTGCTGCTGCTCTGGCCTTCCCCCGGCTGGGAGGCTGGGAAGGGCAGTGGTCAGGTTCACTGTCTGACACCACCCCAGACAGTTGGCAGGACATTCTACCTGACCACATGGGAGTGGATGATGCATTTGCTACATCTAGTTATAGCAAGAGAGATCTGGGATAGGTTGGTGATGTCTGCACTGGGTATGTGAGGACGAGCAACCAAGTGTGTGGAGGATCGTTTGCATCTGGGCTGATGTCCTGTTCCAGGCACCTACGTGATGACAGTCACCGCCAATGATGCTGATGACAGCACTACAGCCAACGGGATGGTGCGGTACCGGATTGTGACTCAGACCCCACAGAGCCCATCACAGAACATGTTCACCATCAACAGCGAGACAGGCGACATTGTGACCGTGGCAGCCGGCCTGGACCGAGAGGTGAGTGGGCGGCCTGTCACCCAGCAGTGTGTGTGTGTGTGTGCGTGTGTGTGTGCGTGTGTCTGTGTGCGGCCTGCCACCTAGCTGTGTGTGTGTGTGTGTGTGTGTGTGTGTGTGTGTGTACAGCATCCCCTTCCTCAAGGAGGGTCCCTGGATGGCACCTGGGTACCTGGACCACGCTGCCCATGCTCCTCCCGCCCCCTGCCCTGCTCCTTGCAGCCAGCAGTGGGATGCAGCTAGTGCCTCAATGGTTGGCCCCATGTAGCCTGGGGCCCTGTAGCTCAGAATCGCTGTAAGGTGGGGTCACAGTAGCCCTTGGAGACAGTGTGTGGAAGACCATGTGTGAGTCTCGTGACATCTGGAGTGAGTCAGCCGAACTGGGCCTGAAGTCTTGGTCTCCGTGAGGCCAGATGCACAGCCAGCCTACCTGTGTCCTGACGGGAAGCCCTGAGCTTCGTGCCGTACCAGGGTGGAGGGCAGAGTGGCTGCAGGGCATGTGAGGTGGCAGGACACTCTGACCAGCATGGAAGGAAGCGGAAGTGGGTACGCTAGAGACCCTCCACTCATAAGCCCAGCTCTATCCCACTTAGTCTTTGTAGAGGACTAATCCCGAACTGGACTCTTCATCAAAAAATCTGAGCTGTTACTGTTTCTCTGATCACATTTTCTACACTTAAAAAACTGTACAGAAGGATGGTCTAGAAACAGAAAAAAATCCTCCATTTTTGCATAATGCTGATTTTCCCATAACCACCTGGTCACTGGAACCATGCTGATAAGTGGTGAAGTGCTGAGCTTACATCTGCAAGGATTCTGTTTCCAAATGAGGTCATATGTCCACTGGAGACATGAATTGGGGGGACACTACTCAAACCACTAAGGAGCTCTGATAGCGTCGTGGTTATGAATCGGGCTGCTAACCTCAAGGTCGGCAGTTTGAAACTACCAGCTGTTCCGCAGGAGAAAGATGAGGTTTTCTGCTCCTGTAAAGATTTACAGCCTCAGAAACCCTGTGCAGGGTCACTGTGAGTCCAAACTGACTCCAGGTACTTAACAACATTAACACTAAAGGCAGGGGGGACTTTCCATCATAATGGGGTGTTGAGGTTAAGAGTATCCAGGACCCCAAGAGCCAGAGCCTGCAATATGGTGTCCACAGGTCTCATGTGGTCAAGTGAAAATAAAATAACATGAGGACCCTACCAGCCCTCATACTGATTCACTGCACAGTGCAGAGCAGGACAGCCTTCTCGAAGGTTCCAGTGTCTAGATCAGCTCTCAAGGACTGCTTTAGAAACAGAGGCCGCAGGAGAAAACCTGGGATAAGGCAGAGTGAAGGAGAGAGGTGGGCTGTTGGAGCCTCAGATCTTCCGGGGGAGGTTCGAACCGCATACTATGTGAGCAACCACGTGGCAGTGGAAAGCAGGGTCTGCCGAATCTGGGTGGGAGGCTGTGTGGCAGCTCTTCGTCAGGGTCTGTCTGCCCTTTATAAACAGCAAACGGATGGCAGTGCACAGGGTCCCCCCTTATCCCGTGAGCAGCCACATGAGACAGAGAGCAAGTCTCCCACTGCCTATGCCCGCACCCCCATCTCCCCACTCCCCAAGCAGTCATGTGCCAGTGAGCAACCAGGTGGCAGTGGTGTGCAGGATGTACCCCCCCCTTGAGTGGCCAGGTGGTGGACGGTGCACAGGATGTCCCCCATCCCTGAGACGCCAGGTGATGGACGGTGCACAGGATTTCCCCCATTCCTGAGTGGCCAGGTACGGTAATGTACAGGATTTCCCCCATCCCCATGAGTGACCAGGTGCAGCAGAGCACAGGATGTCCCCCCTCCCTGAGAAGCCAGGTGATGGATGGTGCACAGGATGTCCCCCATCCCTGAGTGGCCAGGTGATGGACGGTGCACAGGATTTCCCCCATCCCTGAGTGGCCAGGTGCAATAATGTGCAGGATTTCCCCATCCCCGTGAGCGGCCAGGTGCAGCAGAGCACAGGATTTCCCCCCTCCCTGAGCAGCCAGGTGATGGATGGTGTGCAGGATTTTCCCGCTCCCCATGAGCTGCCAGGTGCGGCGGTGTGCAGGAGGGCCCCCAGAAGAGGTGACGGTTGGTGTCCTGTGCAGTTGTTTGATTCACATCTTCAGGTCCCAAGTCCTCACACCCAGAGAAGCAGGTGTTCCTGCACCTCACCTTCAAAGACGAGGCTCCACAGCGCAGTGTGCACACTTGCCCTGGTGCATGGTGGAATCTTGACTGCACACCAGATGCCCCTTCCTTCAGACCAGATTCGAGAGGAGGGGCATTTCTATTGCCCACTGTACTTCCCCAGGGAAGTGAAATATTGGGGTGCAGGTCTCCAGTGCTCTGGCTCTGAACCCCTAAGCCGGTGCACCTCATTCAGCATCTCAGACGGAACCATCAAACCAGGTTGATTCTGAGCCCTGCAGGTAGGCTGGGCCTGTGCACCGGGCGAAGTGGGTACTAAGAGAGGTTCTAGAGGCCACGGGCCCAGAATAAAAGCCATCCAGCAGGTGGAACCAGTAGATCCAGAGGCCTGCACAGCCCCCTCATGGGCAGCCCAATACTTCAGTGGACACAAGTGGTCTTTGTTGTTGTTAAATGCTGTCGAGTTGGCTGCAACTCATGGCAACCCTGGAAAGTGTTCTCGAGGAGGAACTAGTGAGTTTGAACCTCCGACCTTGTGGTTCAAACCGACCTATGACCATGAATATCATGGAAGGAAGAAAGATGCTCCCACCCACCCACCTTGAGGTTCCAGATCTAGCTAGCGCTCAGCTGGGGGAACCCAGTGGGGTAGGGTGGTGGCCTCATCTACCTGCCCAACCAGCCTTCAAGAGCCTCTCATCACCCAGATCTCTGCAGAGGTTGCTGCCCTCCAGCTGCCCTGAGCTCTCCTTTTTCCTGAGCTCCCTCCAACATTGATTCCTAGCACCACACTGCCCACACTGCCCAGCAGAGGCCATCTTCAGTTCCTCTCTGAAGAGCGCTTCTGCTAAATATTTGATGAGAAACAAGTTAGGGCACAGGAAAGCAGAAAGGAGGAGCTGAAGGAACTTACCAGCAGGGTCTCTCACTGTCCTCAGCAGTGTGGGTACCGAGCCAGGCCTAGGACAAAGTTGGAGAAGGAATCATTCTGGGCCTTTTGTCTCAAGGAGAACCTTCCAGAGGCCACAGGGGCCAGAGACACCTCCAAGTTTGGGACGCTGGCCCAGCTCTGGGTGCTGTGCTGTGCTGAGCAAGCTCCCAGAGGGGTCAGCTGGAGGGTCTGTGTGATGGAAGGAGGCTGGGAACCAGTGTAGCCCCACCAGTGACCATTCCCTGAGAGCAGGAGTGATAGACCACTGAGGTTAACGATGAAGTGGTGCCACCCTGTGCCATCCACCTTGTATTGTCCACCCTGTGCTGTCCATCTTGTGCCATCCACCCTTGTGGAAAGCACTTGCTGAGCCCTGCCTAGGGAAGCTCACTGTTCTGACTCCAAACTCCCCAAACCATCACATCGAATCCTCAAAACCTCTGTATTCCACCAGATAGAGCACAGGTCACCCAGGACATTGAATGTCCTGTCCACATGGACAAGAAATGTATCCCAAATCTTGCCTGGCACATCCTTATGCAGAGAGGAGCGTGTCCTCCAATGACAGGCCATGGATCACCAAGAACCAACAGGAACAGGAAGAGAGGCACGGGTGGTCCTCTCTCAGAAACCGCAGAAGGAGCCAGCCCTGCTGACCCCTCCAATTCCAGCTTCTAGCTCCAGAGCCTTGAGATGTGTCTGCTCTTGTAGGGCTGTGGTGAGGTGTGGCCCACAGTAGGACACCGGCTCTGTTGTTATTTGTTGCATATGGTCCCCCCGCCCTGGGGCACCCACCTTATGGAGCCAAGCAGGCAGGGCCAGAGATAAGCTGGACACACACCAGGAACCCAGAGGCCACCATGTTGCTGGTGGGGTCCGACAGCAACAAAGTCCCCGGAGCCCAGCTCTACAGGCGGAGCGATGGGGTGGTCATGGGTCACTAACGTGGACTCCCGGGCATGCACTCAGCGGAGAGCTATGTGGGCCTTGACATCCGAGATAGGCCTTCCCAGCCCACACAAAGCACCCGACCACCTCTTCGCTCTGTCAACCAGAACCCCCTGCTCACGCTGGCAGGCCCCAGTACCCAGTGGCCTACTAACACCACCCACCCTCCTGATGAGAGGTCCTTCATTTTCCCATTACAGGAACCAGTGGCCTTTCCAGAAAAGGGCTTTGGGTGGGTTCACGCCTGTCCCACGTGGAGGACTTGGCCCATTAACCCCGTAGAGCATAGTCCCTGCACAACATCTAGCACCTCCCGGAGGGCTCAGAAGGTGGGGGCCTGGGGGCTAGTAGGGGTTGTTTGTTCACACACACATTGGTGTGGGGCAAGGGGTGGCAGGACAATGTAGCATCCAGAGGAACCAGTCCCCATGCTTGGTAAAGTGGAGGAACAGAGAAAGAGTAAGACCTCCCACGAGATGGACTGGCACAGTGGCATACAAGGGGCTTAAGCGCAGCAATTACGAGAGTGGCGCCGGATAGGACACTGTTTCAGTCTGCTGTGCTCGAAGTCAGAACCTACTAGGTGGTACCTAACAAGAGACTAGAACTTGAAGCTGAAGAAAAGGTTCTCCAGGGAAAATGGTGACGGACAGATCTTAGGGGAGACCTGAGGAGCTCCTTCCCCTCCCCGGAGGTTCCCGTTGCATTCATCCTATTCACCGAGTACTTCTGAAGCCCACCTGCGGCCCACCCTCCTGATGGTCAGCCAGCTTGGCTCCCTGACCAGAAACAGCCCTGGCGACCCAACCTGTGCATGGGGGCAAGAGTGGGATGCAATGCTAGAAGGGCTGGAGTGTTTTCCTGTTTTCTGTTTGGTGGTGGTGGTGGTGTGCCGTGGAGTCAGTTCCAACCCAGAGCAACCCTGTATAGGGTTTCCAAGACTGTAAATCTTTA